GCGTCTCTACCATGAAAACTGGCAGAAGGCTTGGGGCGTGGCTCGGTTGATAAAGTACTTGCCTAGCATGCACAAGGCCCTGGGTACAGTGCCCAGCACCATAAAACCAGATGCGGTGATGCATTCCAACACTTGGGGGAGGGGAATCAGTTCAAGGCCATCCTTAGCGACATCCCGAGTTTGAGGCTAGTCTGGGCAAGAGACTATCTTAAATTGTCAACAAGGAATTTACCTTCTCTATAGATAAGAGAAGCAGGATTATACTAATTAGAGAGGTTACAGGGTTGGAGGGCAGTCTATAAAGGGAGGAGCTCTTTGCTTCCTGCTACTGGGTTAGTGGTTCTGGGATTTATATGTAAATAAGGCATGATGGCAAGCACGTTGAAGTCTGAGTCAAGATTTCAATATCCATTCCGAATATAAAAATTGTGGGTTTTCCCCTGAGCTGTTACCCAATTCACGTCCCCCTTTCTCTGATTTCTCCCAGCCTCATCCAGTTCTTGTAATTAGATTTGGGCTATGTTGGGGTTTTTATTCCTCACGGTTGTTGATAGAGGACTTGGCTCTGGCAGGGCCAGTCCCCTGACTCTGAGACCAGTTCCCAATCATTTATAAGTATTGTGAGAGTCACCTGAGTTAATTTGGGGTCAGATCCTGGTTTGCTCTCTCCCCACAGGGCCAGCAGGAGATATCATGCTGATCCTAACCCTGAAGTCGCTCTTACATACCCCCTGGCTGGCCTCAAACTTGCCATGTAACTGAGGCTGGCTTTGAACAATCCCCTTGGGGTTACTTTTCTTCAAAGATTAAGGCAAAGGGAACCTTGTTTTGGTTTGTTTGGTGTGTGTGTGTGTGTATGTGTGTGTGTGTGTGTGTGTGTGTGCGCGCGCATGCGCACGCGCCAGAGGACACATGTAGAGGTCAGAGAACAACTTTACCCACCAAGCCCCGTTCCCCTAGAACCCCAGTGCTGGGATTATAGACGTATGCCGCCATGCATGGCTTTTTAATGTGGGTGCTGGGGACCCAGACTGACTCCTCACGATGGCACAGCGAGCGCTTTACTCTGAGTCGTCTCCCAGCCCTCCTGGTGTCCTGTTTCCTACAAACCAGGAGGGCACTCTGGTCTGGCCTTGCCTTGGCCTCTGATCTTCACCATAGGCCCTTCTGTGGTCAAAACCCTATGTCCGTAGTCTTCTAAGAAGTTTGGGAGTCCTGCCCGAGGCCCAGGGACTGCCGCCTCCCACCAGGCATCGTTGGTCCTGCCTGCCCAGGCCAGAGAACTCAGAAGTACTGGCTAGGAACCAGTGTTCCTCCCAAGTCCTTGGCAACCCCTCAGTGGACAGGTGTGAGCATGGCTGCTCTCAGGGTCAGGTACTGCCACTTCATGTCCATCATCAGGTATTTCTATAGAGGCTGGGGGAGAGCCTTCACACGGTGGATCTGGCCCCAGATCCTGTTAAGGGAGCTCACCCTTCCCCAGTGAGGAATTCGGTCCTTGGCGATAAGGGCAAAAACTCTAATTAGTGCTCACCTGTAGCCTCTAGCTGTTGCTTAAAGAGACCCAGCCTGGGTCAGAAGTAGTTCATGGTCTATGCAGAGATAGGCATTGTCATAATCTAGTCTAAGTGACCACCTGAGGGTGGCCGGCCTCCTTCATGATTTTTCTGGAGATGATTTTTCCCAGCGCTAAGTGAGTTTTGCCGAAGCTGAGATTTGCAGGTTTCTAGTTAGAAGAACTTGCTGCCTGAGCAGGTATGGGTGGTGGTCACTGTTCAAGGGGGAAGATACTGCTTCCGGAAAAGAGGAAGGGACAAGCAGGTTCACACAAGCAGAAGGCAGCAGGGTGGCTTTAACTCTGTGGTCCCAGATCAGAGGCCGGCTTCCTCTTCTGTGCTCTTATTCCTGTGACCCCAGTATTTCCTAAGTAAGCTTGTCAGTCGTACTGATGTTAAAGCTTGCTATTTCCCGTTCTTCCTTCAATCCTACCACAATCACCCCCACCAGATCCCAGGTGGCACCAGGAAGCTGGCAGTGTGGGGGCTAGAGGAGGTGACATGAAAACCAAGCCCTAGGCCACCCTCAGCTCCCCAACCCCTCGGCCCAGGTTCGCCACCCCTCTGGTTGAGACGGCACTGAACGCACTTTGCAATGATGGCGCCCCCCAGCATGGTGTGGGCAGGGCTGCAAGGGAAGAGAGAGGCAATTTCACGGTCTTCCTGCCCCTCACCCACCCACCCACCTGCCCCCTCCCATGGCCCCCGGCAGTGTCAGCTGCCTAGAATGACCTAGACTGGTAGAAACAGACCAGCCTCCCCGGAATTCCAAGGAGATAAGAAGCAGGACATGGCCTGGAGACATCAGTTGCAGCCCTTTTTTTTTACTGCAGAGTGTTGTCCCAAGAGGGCTGCACACATTATCGCTGCCAGTTACCGCCTGGGGGTCCGGCTGGGCTGCATGGTTGTGGCCACAGGTATAGATAGGCCTCCTACCTCCCCGTCACTCAGATGACCACCATTCTGCTGACTACCATGAGCCCAAGGCTTGTCCCTGTATGGAGTGTGTATCCAGAGACGTGCCCTCGAGGTCAGTGTACCATGGACACCTTATAGGTTGGGACCATGGCCTACACTGTGCTCACAGCAGCACAAGTGGCCAGCCACCCTGAGAGGGCACAATTTCCGGGGGAGTCCCTGAAAGCAGAGCTGCTTCTGGGTACATCCCCAAGGCTCTCCATGTGACAAAGTCAACTATCTCCAGATGCTGGGGCTCAAGAGGACATGTGGTTCCTTTCAAGAGAGCAGGTGTGTGTGTGTGTGTGTGTATGTATGTGTGTTGGAGACCAGAGACAAGAGGCAGTTGTGAGCTACCTGTTGTGGGTGGTTGGAACTGAATTCAAGTCCTCTGGAAGACAGTACATGCTCATAACCACTGAGGCATCTCTTCAGCTCCCCCACCCCTCACACTTTTTTTTTTGTTTGTTTTTGTTTTTCAAGACAAGGTTTTTCTGTGTGACAGTTCTGACTGTCCTGGAACTCTCTCTCTCTCTCTCTCTCTCTCTCTCTCTCTCTCTCTCTCTCTCTCTCTCTCTCTCTCTCTGTAGACCTGACTGGCCTCAAACTTCTGTTTTCTTTTTAAATAAAGATTGTATTCATGTGTGGGTGCCCACTGATATGAGAAGAGGGTATCACAACCTCTAGAGCTGGAGTTACAGGTGGTTGTGAGCCAGGACATGGGCGCTGGGAACTGATCGGGTCCTCTGCAAGAACAGCAAGTGTTCTTAACCATGGGGCCGTCTCTCCAGCCCTCAGTTTCCTTTTCTTTTTCCTGAAGTGTTTGGGGCACATAAGAACTTGCATCGCATCTGAGAAATAACTCACAGTAGGGAAGACCTGTACCCTTGCCGCCCTGAGGGCATCCCAGAAGGATGGTGTCCTGTATACACCCTGGGGCCTCCATCCCAAAACACACCAGCTCTAGCCTGTCTTGAATTTCCAAGTATACCATCTCACTGCCGTGTTTTTATATCATTTATAATGATTTCAGCATAAACACCCATTACTAAAGGTAGTTTCTAGAGATTT